AACCAACATCACCTGTCGTCCCTCTTAGTTAGATTATTTAGTCTTTTACCTGGAACTACCTTAGCGTTTGGCCATTATGTACTGAAGTGGAGATGATATAGCAATATATGTATGTCAGTCATTAGGTTATTTCTTACAAGTTATTTGTTGTAGAAAATATATGAGCTATTGAATGGCTGTAGATAACCATAGGAGATGAATTATGGGAAATATATTTGTATCCGATTATTTACATATGGATTTACATATGGTATAAGGTTACACACTAGAGAAATATCTCCATGACCGTCCTGGACCATTGGCTCACTTAACCAGGTCATGAAGATCTTTCTGTTTCTAATACATGTTTTGACTACCAGGTGTATGGACCCCTGGCTGCTGGTCCTGGTCTAACTTTCTCTTCCTTTGGTAAACTGTCTCTTTTTATCCCTGTCTCTTTTATCCCTGCCCCTTTGTGTTATTTCTGGTATCAGGTTTTAGTAGAAAGACGAGGAATTATTGCCGTGCATAGAGCGCTCACACACACACACTCACACACACACACACACACAAACCATGGATTATATACCGTATCCAAGTGTAGACACAACTAGTTATCATGATCTCCTAATATTTAGACACCTATTGTTTAACATAGAATAGAATTGACAGTTATATAGAATTTATTAAAACTTTGCTTGAATAGGTTTTATAATTTCATCCTCACGCTGTCATCACTGGTTACAATAGTGGGATTATAAAATGACAGTCTAATGAACTTATGCTGGTATTTTTACATTAAGATAAAAGTACCCGACATAATTGTATTACTTAAAATTTTCACTCCGAGATCTGTCCTTCAACATACGTAGGCATGAATGTATACAAGTATATATGTGTCTAACAGTTTATCTGCCTATATGTCCGTCTGTTTATCTATTTATATCCATTACACGGTGACCCACTCTTTGGTACTGTGGAATATGGAGTTTCCTTTCAATATTCCTTATCCTTACGTAACTCCTCACATTCCTTTCACCCATATGTTCCCGCACAACGCCCGTCAAACTCGTGTTTACTCCTCTTTCATTTTTTCTTTATTTACCTATACTCCTCTTAGGATGATGTTCTCCTCCGCCTCCAACATACATTCATGCCTTGTGAGATCTCTATCCCTTATTTTATCTTTTAAGTACTGTTCCTTTCCTCTAGTTCGTATGTTCTTCGTATACTTTCTCGTCTGCACCTTTCTTCCCTCCCCTCGGTCTCACTTGATGTTACATCTCACCCAGATTGTGAGTGACCATCTCCCATATATATATATATATATATATATATATATATATATATATATATATATATATATATATATATATATATATATATATATATATATATATATATATATATATATATATATATATATATATATATATATATATATATATATATATTTCACATGACTGGACCAACACGCCAGCAGGTGGGTCTCCCCAACACCCGGAAAAACAAGCATTTTGTGTTGTTTGTTGCCTGGTCTGGTCTCACATGTGACTGATTTTCTTACTAAAATTTCTGAAATGTAATGCTAATGAGGAGTGCACGAAAGCGCTTGCGTTCTTTTATAAATTAAGTTCATGTTCAACTTTCCAATGAGAAACTTAATAGGTTTACATTAATTAAAAAAATAATAATAATAAATTTGTAATCGCAGTAGAATTTCCTCTGGAAATTAAATCCTCACGTCCAGGAGTAAACCACTACCAGTACTCACATGCAAAAGAAGCATTTAATCACACTCGACACACAAGCACTACAAGCTCCGAATAGAGGGCAGAGTCGTAACTCCCAGTCAGATCTACATAATTAATGTTTATATTTTAATATGCACCTGTGGTGAGAGACATATGGAGAGGTCCTGCGGTAATACTCACCACACACTTGTGCCAAGAGGCCATAGAGGCGCTCACTGACAGATTCCTCCACTGTAACACATTTGGGCCAATTTTTCCCTCCGTGTGGTGGCCGGACGTTGGACTAGATCTTAGGAAATGACCGCGGCAATACTTGTAAGTACAGGACTCAAGCGCTACTGTGTATATCTTACTCTCTGGGGAAACTTTATGCTTTTATCAGGACCAATACGACCATTACCTCGTGTATGTCATGATGATTATTTGTATATATAACATAAATATGAATATATATGTTGCCAGGAGGATAATTAGATCGGCAGCAGCTGGTTAAGGGAAAAACACTGGCGTCTACCACCGTTCATCATTACGGACTGTTCTGCTAATTTCTTTTATTTATTCTATTTTCCTACAGGTCTCAGCTCTTAAAGGTTCAACAGTGTTTCTATATTATTGTCAATTAACTTTCCAAAAACACACAGTTGAAAAATTATTACAAAAACGCGTGTATTTACGGAAGGTTTTAATCCTTGTAATTTCCGACTTAGCAACTGCTGAGAAACCATAACAGAGATATGACGTCACAGCTTAGGCTCCTCCCACCGCCGGCGACTGACTATATAGCGAGACATGCCATTGAAAAAACTTACATTCAAGTGCAATATCAGCCACTGACAAGCGGTAGCATTACAAAACAAACAAGCCAAGGTGAGGACTAGTACTCTGGCCGAGCAAGGTGTAGTGTCATATACCTGTACATTGTGTTTATCGACGTAGATGTTCGGAGATTTCAAGACGACATACGCAAGTGATCCACGAGGTGAACACTGGACTTTACTCGCCGTATACCTGTGCCAAGGACTTACTCAAAGTGTTGTGTGTAATATATAGAAGTCGTCGATTTGGGGGTCGCAGTGAGGAGGAACAGTTAGCGTGGTGTTAAGAGGAGGACAGTGCGTTGCTTGCCTCTAAAATGCCGTGAAGAATCATTTTTTGCAACACCCCCTTTTTTTTTCTCAAATATCCCCTCAGGCGGTCCTCCCGATCAACAGGAACGTTTACGTATATAATAAATGGAGCTGCTACCTTCTTATGACGTCTGTGCATAATATCCATCCTCTTGAATCCCTCGTAAAATCTTTGTCTTTTGCTGGGATACAACATTAACTTCCCCTCAATCAGTAATGATAGCTGATCTATTTGACAATATTAATCACTGTCATAGCAATGCCTTCTCTCAGTCAACCAGAATTGTCATTACGCTCCCCTCTAGTGTCAACAGTTCACAGCCTTTATGGAGAATGCACCTTGTCAGTTAAAGTAGTTTTCATTTTTTTTCATCTAATATTCCTCATAAATCTTTTCAAATATCTCCTAATAAGTGTATGTTATTTTAAAACAGTTTGACTCTCCATTATATGTATGATGCCTCCGTTGTCTGCATGATATTTCACTTATATCGCATATTTTAGAGTTGTAGAATATCCCCATTAACTATGGAATATCCCAAATCCGTCATACTATAAAGCTCCATAACGCGGTTCGATTACAGTTTGCCCTTCTTAAGTGGCAACAATAACAACGGGTTCGTTTTAGTGGGTGCCGCTGGCAGTCTGGCGTCCGGGATGTTATGATTCAGCGCGACAAGCGGGAGTCACGCCAGAGCAGCACCTGGCCCTAAATCGACCCGTTAACGCTGTGCCATGTGTCTTCTGCTTACAGTGCCGGTTTGGGCCATCCGTCCGTCTTGTGTACTGTACAATTAAGCGTCAATCTAGGCTGTATACACTACCATGCGTACACATACGGTTTCATGTGTCCGTTTACGGTTTCATTTTCACGTTCATGGTACTGTATATAAGTTTGTTGCGTCATGTAGCAGCCTATGATGCCATATGGTTGCCCGCGGCGTCTTGCGTCTGTTTATGGTATCTTGTGACTGTTCACTGTATCATATAATTGGTTTTCTTACCGTGTGGGTCCGCTTACAAGGGTTTGTTACTGTGTAAAATGTCATTTGTCTCCTGTCCCTAGTTATAGCGCCGTGTGACCAAGTGCTGTACAAGGTCACTTACTAGATTACCAGAGTCCCAAGCAATGTCTCCGAGTCGTGGGTTGTGTATCCAGGTATCCAAGGACGGGTAGAGGTTGTCACTATCATCCCTCATGACAATTAATTGTAGCTGCTATTATAACGTAGATTGTCAATGAGTAGATAAAGGTACGAGGTAGACTTAAGCCGGGTAGATGAGAGAGAGCCTTTTTGGTGTCAGTCAGGTGGTGTGGAAGTCTGCCCAGGCGTCGCTCTCTCCTACGTGTAATGCATAACGTCTATCAGAGGAGTTGACCTGCATGTTGTCTCTAGTAATATACGTTTTCTTTTCGTATAGAGAAAGTAATGTTGACAAATAACATATATTGTACACGTAAGACAAAAAGTATTAAAATCACAAAACACCAATCACCCCCTCCATCACACACACACACACACACACACACACACACACACATAGGTATAGGTATTTCCTTTCAATTTCTAGTGGCGATTTTAAAACTAATGGTGGGAATCAATCACAATGGTTATGGCAGGAGGAACTTGCTCTAATAGTTAATGGGAAGAATAAGTAAAATTTCGATGGGGTGGTGTTGGCACGGGAGGGCTCACACACCTGGTGTTTTGGCGAGAAGATAATATCTGTACTCACGACCAACCAATGGCTGGCGACACAGGTAGAACTAACACCGTAATCATCTTTGGTATTATTGTGAAACTATAACATGATCTATCTCTGTGTTATGGGAGTGCTCATAATCAGTCAGTTGGCGGTGACACGAGTGAAACTAACATCGCCGGTGTCACTGGTATTATGAGAATACTAACTACCTCTCACTGTAATGATTACTTTAGCTTGTGTCCGTGGAGATTAATATGACTCGGGAGGTACCATAGGAACCTACGGTATTTATGCCATACGTTTGACCTATATATCTATCTATCAGTTTTCCCTTTTAAGAAGTTTCTTGGTAAGTCAGGTGAAATTTTCCTTCCCATACTTCTTCCATAGCGTCTTCCTGTGCCTGATAGGGGTGGTATATAAGGCATGCAGGCAGTAACATTCGAGGCAGTTTAGTGTAGGACGTCACCGTGGGAGGACCGGCTCGCTCTGTTCCCATTATCTTTCGACATTATTCCCTCAATGTTAGTGAAGTTGGTGGGAAATTTAAGTGTTATTTACAATTCGTTTGTGTGAATAATTATGATCAATTTTAAATGATACACATTTATAAATAACAGTGTCTGAAAACACATGGCTATATTTTCTATTGAGTTTAATATTACTTAACAATTTGTACATATTTTTTACTTTGCGATTCACTTATATAAACCACGACTGAGTGAAGCTTTCAATAACCTTAAGCGTGATGGATCACTTACATGGTAATTATATTCCCTGACAAAGTGCTTTGGTGAGCAGTAGGTCGTGAGGGTGGACAGTGATTAACATCCTGGAAATGGTGCCCAGACAGTCACTGTAGTGACTCAGTGTGGTGATATTAACTGATCGGTCACCACTGGCTGGTAGCAGCGAGCGAGCAGTGTGGTGGTGTTTGCCGGTGGGTCACCCTCACTGGTAATAGTGAATCAGCGTTGTGATGGTGGCAGGTTATCCACCCTCCTAAGAACCAGTAAAACCTGTTTCTTCAATTTTCTAACTTTAGGCATCTTAGAAGGACGAGTTTATTGAAGCTTACTTTTGTGGATTAGAATTGAATATTCATTTAGATTATCCTTTTGAATTATTGTAGATCTTTTTGTAAAGCTTAGTTTTATATGATTTTTGTTTATTGATTACACATTATGTCGAGTGAACAGTCACATATATGATATGTAATGTCTTGACCAATACTTATTGTACGTCTCCCACAGATGATGAGCAAGATCTTTTTCCTGGCCCTGGTGGGCGTGGCGTGCGCGGCCTCAGTGGAGGATCGGGAGGGTGTTCCAGTAGCCCAGGCCCGGGACACTGGGTCTTCTTCGTATGCGGCGCCCGCCCCAGCCCCAACCTACGACGAAGGCTCCCAGGGTAACCTCTATTACTACTACTACCCTGTCTCAGAGTACGGACCTACTGAGGCTGAAGATGTCGACTTCGACATCTTTACCGCCATCATCCTACCACTGTTGATCCTGGGTGGGCTCCTGCTGTTGCTCTCCTCCCTCACCTTCACCCTCACAGGTAATACCGGCAGAGAAGCCACTGACTCTGATATTATGGGTCAACTCCACGATGAGATCGAACGCGTCTTCTACGTCTACCTCAACGCCTTCGAGAACGAGCAGTGCCTGCAGAGGACCATCTGCGAAATGGGCGCCTACTCCAAGGACATCAAGGGCAAGGACTTTGTCCTCAGGTATGATACATAAAGCTTTTGTTGGTGCCTGACTCTACCCTGACTTTTGCTCATGACCTGTGACTCACAATTCCTCGCTTAGCCATGACTTCAGCTTAATTAACTTTTTCTTAAAAATCAACATTAATTCACGTGAGTCGTCACTAACTCTTATTCACGCACCTATGATGAGCTTTTATACTCTACACTAACTATTACTCACCATTCTACCAAGACCCACAGCCATGACTCAGCGCTGAATCTTAATTGTACACATCTTAGTCACGACTCTACTGCGACTGTACAATAACTCTTATTTATGACTTAAAGCTGAATTAACTTATCACTTAAGGTTATCTCATGTCTCCCACCAAATATTTAAACAGGAATGATGTATCGTAATGACTCAACACTGCCTCTTAATCATGATAGGATTTTACTCATGATTATATTTTCGTGAATGTTTTCAAAGCAGTTGTTTCTCATTAGTACCTACTGACTCACACTCTTGACTCCACGAATGACTGTTATGACTCAACTCCCTCTGTCTCAAGAATGACCCACACTTATGAATTAACACTGACTCAATTGTGACTCTCCGTTACCGCATCCCCTTGATCCTGACTCATCGCTGGTTCATTCTTGACTCTCCATTGCCCTCACTGACATTCATTAGTGACAACACAAAATTTCACACATACCTTTACACTGAACCTCGTACACTCGTGACTCACAAATCCTCATGAGTCAAGCAAACGCATGGCATATTATTTCTCATGACTTAACGCGGCCTGTTATGACTCTAATGACTCTCACTCATGAATCTATATCATGCCCTCCCCCAGACTCGCTCATAGTCATGACTCATATGACATTCACTCATGATATTACTTTAATTCTTTCTCATGACATTTTACACCGACTCATTCATTAATATTAAATTTATTCACTCTCATGACTTGACATTAATTCTCACTCATGACATTACATTGACTCCCACCATGGCTCCCTGACTCACTCACTCATGACAACACATGGATCACTACCCCACGTCTCCAACATAAAGAAATGTTATCTAGTTCACATGACACAAATCTCGTGTTCCCTGAAACCACCTTCGCTTTCTCACGTTTTCATTCGTCACATATCATACATTAAAAGGAACCCTATGTAGAGACACGGAAACATATTTCATGATATTTTTTTTTATTGTACGTCTGTTTGCTAATATTGATATCCAAGTTACTGCCACTATTTCCAGGTTTCATAAGTTTATAACGTTGATGTGTATTTTTTCATTCATTCAGAGGTATTACGTACAAGTACATAACGGCATTACATGGCTGGCGGGTGATGGTCATACTCACTTTGTTGACCTGTTAACAGACTGCCGTAGGTTATATTATGAGAGTCGTTCACGTCTTCCTGTATTTACGGGAGGGGTGTTGTATCATTCTGATTTTATTTATTTACTGGGGATCGATAATTGTTACTTCCTTACCGCCCACACCGCCTCACTTCCTTGCCATGTCAACCTTGTCATGACATTCCCTACAACCCACACTGACTCAAAGATTTTTCACGTCCTTCCAAACTCTCTACTCTGAGTCATAATATTATCACGACCTTCTTAATTGTCTATTTTGATTACAATTTTGTTATGTCATTCTCAATTGTCCTTCCTTAAGTCTATGCTGACTCCCAACTTTTTACTGTCCTTACTAACTGTCTATGTTTACTCACAACTTTTTCCTTACTGACTCTAAATTATTCATATTCTTACCTTTCCACCCATCGTCCTCACTTCTATCCTTCCTTTATCCTGATCCTAATGTACACTGTGACTGACAACCCCGATGTGCAATGCAATATACCTGCCCAGACAGTGGCCCACTCCACAGCTGTGCCCGTTACCCACATTGTGACTCAGGTCAGGTGCACCACAGCAGCCGGCTGTTGTGTCAGGGGGCCATCCCACTCTCTGACCATCAGCTGGAGACTCTGACCTGCTTCTCTTGGAAGGAGGTCTTATCCTGCATGATTCATGTCTCTTATATCAATGATTGTTGTTCTTCTACACTAATATCGCACTCTCGTTTCTCTGATAACTACAATATGTCTGCGTTATTCTTATCTCAAATCAATCATTTCTTGTGATTTATTCACACAAAAAATAGAAAGTTATCGTGGATCTCATTACTGAATTATCATAATGATATATCACCGAGTTTCATATTAAGAACGTATCACGAATAACTAGAACGTCTCTGTTATACCAGTTCTTGTTCCCGCACTAGTGACACAGTGTCTGGCTATGAGTGTTCCCATCTATGTATTAACTCCCACCTGAGCTAGTGTTAATTGTAACATATTTCCTTATGTTTACGTTCATTGTTTTTTAATGGTAATAATTAACACGAACAGGGATGAAATTCTCACTGGGACAGATGACTTAAGCTGTTATTTCATATTTTTTCCTTTATTATGACGACTAATTACAGTATCTGTTATAGTATACACACACACACACACACACACACACACACACACACACACACACACGAGTATCATATATCACATGAGAAACACCCAACTTTCACAAGCCAAAGTCAATGATTATTCCCACACTTTCTTGAAGTTTCCCTCCAATATTTAGGTCTCTCCAGTCTCGTTCGTTCCTGACACAGATGATGACTTTCATTGGTGGAAGTAATGGGAGCGTGTCACACGCACCTCACACCCGCCACCAAAACCTCCTGGCCTCCGGGTTCTGTAGACATCGCTTCAACTACAAAGTTTCATTTAACAACAAAAAACGGTCTGAATATTATTAAACGGATTACTATATTATTACTGATTGGAAACAAATAATCACATTTTTGCACGATTAGTTTTATTTTTTTACGATAAATGAAAGTCTGAGATATATCACTGTGAAAGTTCATATCTCCTTCCGTGACTGATGACTCGGTAATCACTGCCACATCTCACCAGGCCAGGCTGAGTCATGAGCTGTGGTATTGATTTTTTTTTCAGCCGTATATAAATCACTTTCCTTTGCACCATTCTACACTAACAATTACCGTACTCAATCAGTGTGAAATCAATTGTGATTCATGAGTCGTTAGGCAATCGACTCAAACATGCGAGAATATTAGATTTTTTTTAATGATAAATGATTTAGCTGCTTCATCAATAATGGTTAATAATTGTTTGTGTTGGTGTTATAACATCATAATTATCAAAGGGGAATGTTGACTAATTTGACCGTCGACGAGCTATAATTAACTGATACACATTTTACCTATAACAATACCTATAATTAACATATATACACATTCTAGTTCAGGTGACTCTCACATGATATTTATTATCGTCGTAAATAATTAATGTGTATAGATTAATATGATATGACATTAATATTTTCTTTGGCATAAATCAACCAGTTAAAACTCTAATATTCATCATCACTTGGGTTAATTGTCAGTCAATATACAAAAGCCATTACCATTCGGCATTAACTGTTGTATGTTAGAACCGAAGACGAATAAAACTCAAGGAAGTTCAAGCTTTGAAAATGCTACTTTTTAAAAGTTACCGTTCATCAACCACATGCGTGACTGATCAATTTTTATAACATGGTAAAGCAATTTTGTCAAGCTTAAATTAAGAAGACAAACGACTTAAGTATTCCCTCATGGATGACAAGATTTTGCATAGGATAGATAACAAAATCCTATATTTACTTGAGTATTTCTAGAAAAAATCAAATCTATTCACAAGATACTGGTGACAGGATATTGCTGGGCTGCGAAAATTGGTGATTCTTCAAATTCCATCCCACATGGAGCGTGACGTGACTCTCAAACCCCAGGCAGTGAATCATATGTAGTGATATACAACCTCTCTCACTATCATTAAATACTTCTTTCAAATTTTTAAACCTGTCCTTGGCATTACTTTCATATATCAAATGTTACTTCAGGATATTTTAGTGACCGAATGTATAGTGAATCATCGTTAGTGAATTAACTGTAACATTAGATCTGGATAAAGTCACTCTCTAAAATCTCAGACTTTAACTGGTGGTCAAGGGGCCGTTCACACTCGCCGACGGGAAACATTATGCTGACTTAAGTGTGTTTAGTCCATCATATTAATTCTGCTCTCGATGATAATAATAATTTTGAGCTCGTGCTGTTCATAACCTTATGATGCAAATTGAACGATGTCTTCCTTATGGTGACCAACGTGCAGGAGTTAAACGTCACCTCTTTGTCCAATGAAACACTATTAACGATATAATTTTGGCCAAGGGCTAATAACTAATTATACTTCTTTGACCAAGGGCAAGGAAATGATTGCTCCATGTGTCCAATTATCGATAACTAATCATCATCAGTCGACTTATACAAATCATTACCTATCTTACAATGACCGATATGGGATAAAGTGCTAAATTTTGTTTAATTGATGATACAATTTTCTGTACATATTGACTTCGGTAAAAATTTTATGAGTGATGGTTCAGGTGGCGATCTTAAGTATGTGTTGACTCAGCTGTGTACAGTCTTCATGCACACAGCCTCAGCGACCTCCTTCACTCGACCATGAGATGATCCAGTTTATCTCTGTGTACAAACGAGAGCAGTTCCTGTGACCTTAATCACCGTCTTATCGCCTAACCACGCTTCTCTCTCTCTCTCTCTCTCTCTCTCTCAGCTTCCATTTCCTCGTCGCCTCACAGCAAAACCACGTCATTAAATCCCGTTATCGTTTATTTCAAGCCAGTGCATTGTTAAAGTCTCCACAAAAATATTTATCTTATTTTTTGGACCCAATTATTATATAGTGAAATAAGTCGGAACTGTGAGTGACAGGACCTCAAGTAGAGTAATTAATTTTTGTGTTTACTTCGTCATATTAGCAGCTGTCGAGAGGAACTGAGTCTGTACCTTGTGTCATAGTTTTGGTCTAGTCTGTTGTTTCATATTAACGGGACCCATTTACCTTACAACAGGAAAAGCAAATTGTTCCTGACATTACCTTTGTTTTACCGACTGGATAACTGAGACACTGCTGACGACGCCGTGACCTAGATGATTCATTGAGACATCATGAAGAATAAATTGCTAGAGACGAAAACACTCAAACTCTATATGATTTGTCAGTATTATAAATCACTTCATAAAATTTATATATGCTCAACACTGGCCTCTCTGGGTGCCTCTACGCCGCTTTAGATTATGTCTTCAGTACAGTACATCCTTCTGACTAGTCGATACGGCCAGTCAAGTTTCATAATAAGTCGTAATGATGAATGAAGGCTGAATCTTTATATTTCCAGACTAACAAATCAGTATTTTGCGTTTGTTTCCTTTTTCCAAGTTGCTGTTTGTTTTGTTTTTTAAGTGACACGAGGCTGAGGCGGTAAAACATTCATCTCAATACTTAACTCACCCTGAGCACGATGAATAAGCCCATTGAGTAAGATAATCTTAGCAATAACTTAATCGGTGATTACGACAACTTAACAAACTTAGAATAAAAACTTAATCCCTAGAGTACGAGGTCTTAATCCTTTGAATTCGATGACTTAATCTCTTGAATAAAATGAGCGGGTTAAGTCATTGTACTCAAGTGGTTAAAAGAAAGTTAACCAAATGACATATAAAAACAATCGTAGTAGAGAGCAGGTGTGCGTATCATGGCCTGCCAGGTGTGCGTATCATGGCCTGCCAGGTGTGTGTGTACAGTATCATACACTGACATCTTTATTCGTCTGTTCAGGTAAAGTCCACATTACCGATCCGTTATGTCATTATGTTGTTGGTGTCAGGGAAGCGTGGTAAAGCTACTGTGGTGAGGGAGTCTGGTGTGGTGAGGCTGGCGAGGTGAGGGAGTCTGCGGGTTGATGGGGTGACTGCTGACTTAACACTGACTCAAGATAGATTACTTTAAGCGACAAGTTTGTTATGGTTATTGTAATTTAATAATAACACTTTACAGTTATTTTTTACGTTAGACTCTTTTTTGTTAAATGTTTTCACTTAATATTTATAAACGGTTTATGAATACACAGTTTCTAAGGTCTAAATTTATATTCCCACATGTTTGAACGTTAACTTAGGCCTTGTAACTAATGATGAGAGAACGTATCCACCGAGGGTAGAATCAGTGTAATTTCATCGTCATTTTTCCTATCATCCACCTTTAGTAATATATGTTCCCAGGATAGCAGTTACGAAGGATATTACAGTAGATATAATATTATTTAAGTATCTAAATTTTATCCTGTGAATATACCACCGTACGACGCCCGGCAACCCCCTACCAATCACTGCTTCACCAACAAGACCCAACTTAAACAATAAAGACGTAAGCCAAGTTTACCACCGTCAGGCTGCCAACAGTTACCCGACCCCATCCAGGCCTCGCTTTGAGGTGGAGGGGGGAGGTGGAGACACGAGGAGACAGACAAACAAACAAACGTGTTCTCGTGCTCCTCTTCCTCCCTCTCTCACCAGCTGGAGGGGTGGGCGTGTACCTTCCCCACAATCCCGTAGTGTGGCTGAGGGTGTAGGTAGGTACCCCTCCTGCCTCCCCCCCACCAACATCCCAGTCTTACCGAGGCGACCGTCAGGTACCGCTGTGGCCTGAGTGTTTACGTTTCCAGTTGGACCTCATTATGTTGTTGACGTTACCCGCTGCCCCCTAGTACTCACCAAGGTCCTCAAGCTACTTTATGTTCCCAATATTTTCCTGTTTTAGTGGCCATAAGTTAGTCTCCTTCTCGGTAAATATTACCTTCAATCTACAGGTTTAAGATTAATCTAGAAGTGTATTAATGTCATTTAGTTATATACAAGCTTTTGATGACGCACAATATATGGGAGGACCAACAATAATATCGGCGACTCTTTTACGTTCAAAGTTGGCGTCGAGGGCTGAGAGAACACAAGTCATCTGGGTAAATAAGTGAGTTACCTCTAGCACATTCTTGCTACGATAACTCTAAAAGTTAATTAATTTCTATGTCATCACCGTCGGTAAGTTATGCAAGTGAATAGAATTTACATTTTTATCTCTGTATCAGCTGACAGAATTTCACTTAACTTATTGAGTCTGCTGAGAAGAAGAGTTATTGAGCTCTATGACCCGGAAACCCCCGTCATGCTGGAGATAGTCGTTGACTTGCCTCGCGTGATCAGTTAAAATGTGAGGTGCCTTCCTTCAGGGAGGACTTGACTGGCGGAGAAATGTCGTCTGTGGTTGTCTTTATTACAGGTTTCCTGTTTGTCCACAGAGGGAGCCCCTTGTTTAAGAGAGGGAAACCTCCTGTTGAGCTTAAAGTATTGTAGTTATTGCTGTTGTCACGAGTAAGAAAATATCAATATTATTACCAGGCTTCTCGTAAATTTGTCTTTAAAAATAAGTCATTTACCTCATGACACCCCAAAACGATGACAATTTCAAGGTCTGAAACATAGAGAGTTTACACTACGGCGTCCACGAGAAACTTCTGTGTCAGTTATAACTGTAAATAATTCCAAGGGTGTGAGACAAGTTCTTCTCCAGTGAAGAGCTACAATCATTTCCGTTTCGGTTATTAAGCAACAGATGATCAGTAGGTGAGGAAAATGGACATTATTCGGCCGATTAACACTATTCCTCAACCGTTTATCTCTGGAGACTCCGACAAAATGTTCTTGTGCATTCCTCCGCTTGGCCGATCGTTCAACCGTTGAGAGATTTATGACTGAGGAAATATTAATTTTCTTAAGTTGAGTTTTGTTTTTCCTCGGCGTGTTGTTAAAGTTAATGACTAGTGGGTGAGTGAGATGGCGGGCAACTGTTCCCTCTGTCAACCTAAATGTGTGGTGGAGCCAAGTTCAAGCCAGTTTCTGGAATAACCACAGGACTCCAGCCAGGCTCGTTTGTCATATCTTTACGCTCCAGTAACGATGCACGAGCTGTCACCAAAGGAGACGTATGGGAAATTTGGCTCTCTCCCCTCCATGTTTCTAACCGCGCCTGCTGACAGAACTAGGGCACACCACTGACCACTGCCATTATTTTGTCATGCCGTTATTGCTACAGCTTTCTTGGCTACGGAGAGAGCCGGGAAGTGTGAATGTCACCCCTTTTCTCTCCGTTTATTCAAAATCTACCATATTTCGGTTACCCGAGTGCTTGCTACATACGATCAGCTCATTAGTAGAACGCTGCGTTGCCCTAAGAATAGATGACTGTGAAGATATTCCTTCCGTTTGGTCGTAATTTACCTGGCGGGACTCGGCTCGACGGCACAGTTCCCCGGTTGATGACGTGACACACATTCTTAGCGGGAACCAACACGAGTGTCAGCTGATGGCGGTCGTGTTTACATGTGTTCTGCTTGAATAACCGTAGAGTCGACTCGAGCACACGCCAAAAGGCACCTGCGGGCATAAACGGTACACCAGCACCTGTAAAGTGCATTTGTAGTGTTGATGGATCAACGACCTTACAGTTGTAAATTGACTTAGATGACGCCTTACTGAACACAGATATGTGCACATGTGCACAATATTATTTTTTTAAGATTGACTAATCTACATTGTCCTTGGTAATATGTTAAGATAAGAAAACATTACATCAGAAAATCATTGATGGCATTAGCCTTCTTGGCCATGATGAACGGTGAAGTCACTCCAAGAATAAAATTATCAACCGATAATAGAAATTTAAACATAATTATTAATCATAAGTATAATCGGCTATAAATAATACTCAGGTGATTGGTATTACTTTGGCACCCACAGCAGGCGACGACCTCACTCACCTTGACCTTCGTTACCACACACTCACGTAACATCCTCAACCTCACATAACTGAAGAGCACTTTTCTTTCACGGAAGAAGTGCCGCTATATGCAATAACCGGTTTGTCAAGACAGGAAAGACTGGAACAAAAAGACACTTGCCTCCCGCGGACGCACCAAGCACACCTAACGTTATCTGGTATGACCAGTTTGTCTGGACAGGAAATCAACATTAGCAAAAAAACTTACCTTTCAACTTTACATTTAACTTTTACTCTCCGTGAACTTAAGAACTTTATGATCACGCTGAGTTAGTTGTTATCTTCTCTCTTTTTTTCTCTACTTCGTCGCACGACTCAGCCACCGTGACCGAGCCCCCTATAACAACTACCTCACAGAAGATGATAGCTGCAGTTACCGAGTAATGGTTTTGACATAGATTCCTGGTGTGTGTGTGTGTTTTTTTTCCTCCTACATCCAAGTCATTACTTCCGTCATGGCCTCTGGCTGGCATAACGATGAATAAGACTCAGTCCATTATCCAGGCAACTGGTGTATAGTCCAACAGTGATGGAGTTCCGCTATGACTCTCATTATAAATGACTGATGTTTTCTTTTATTGTTAAGTCTTCGCTAACTTATAATTATTTTGTTATTAACTAAAACGTTTAAGGAAACTTAATATGAGTATTTATGAAGGTCACTGTGACCCACGCCACCTCCCGTAACCTCTGACTTGTTACATCCTGTATCTTGACTGACCACTCACTGATTGACGTTCTTACACGTATCTGTCTTCTTGTTTTCTAGCTTGGTCGAGCCTCTGATTCCTGAAGGCATGAAGAACAACATGGCTATCTTCAAGAAGGCTGCTCAGTCTGGCTATGAGACTGGCAAGTGCAAGAAATTCAGGTGCATCGCCCCAAAGCTACTCTAAACAGCGTCGCCAGAGAAAACTGATGGATTCGGCAGATCTACAAAGAAAACGGACCTACATTAATCGACGTTCATAGAGAAAATGAGAAATACAGGTCACCACATTCACGTCTTTTAGACGCATTGAATGTGGGAGTCTGTGTGTGAATATGTTGTAAGTTCCTTATATGGAACATCAGCTGTTAAGATTCAACTAAACAACTTTGAGACTGTCACTATCTACTGCTAGCCAGCACTTGGTGTACAGCATCATGTCTTAAAGTAATTAACATCTTTTAATTTATTCTTTTGTATAATGTTATGAATGATATTTATTTATTGTTGTTGTATGTCCGAGTGGCCAATCCTATGAGTTATCACTACTGATTGTTCATTTCTCAGGGCTCTCCGTATCTTACTAAATTTAATTAATCAAAATTGAACGCACTTAATATCAAAAGCATAACCTTCCCTTGTTCTGTATGTAGTTTGCACCCATTCATCACCTTTGTCTTGTTTCTCGCGAACACAGTAATAGGCCCAACTCCCCGGATTAAAAGCACAGCCCAGCTTCTACTCTCGAGTGCCATGATTCTCTTCGTCGACAGTAAATAATTTGTCAACAACTGTCTCTGTCTGCATATTCAACAAATTATCCTTTTGACGCACCGCTGTCTTAAGATGTGACATAATTTATATTTTCCAGGTGAGGACAAAAATATTTCTGAAGGTTGACAAAACAAAGTCTTGCAATATGACAGGACGAGAAAATTTTCGTAAAAAGAAACAAAAAATATTGACTCAGCTGAAAAATACATAATTTAGTCATGTTAACTGTCGCTGCCTTGTCTCCATATCACAGCTCACATATGTACATAGTTACATATCCTAAGTCTTTCATCCCAGCTTGTTTTTCCATTTTTTTATTTCTATTTTCGGTTTTTTTTTTTGTATAATCAAAACATTTCACGTTGATTTGTTATTTTTATATTACTGCACCCATGGTGAATTAAGTGTTCTATGTTTTGTATGCGGGAAATTGATTTTTTTTTTGATGAATGAGTTTTAAGAATAATGACTTGTGAAATTACAAAAGATTTACCCCCGTGTCTACCAGAGCTTTGTAAATACAGTGGCCTTCCAATGTTCCTTGTTGTTTTATTTAATATATCCTGGTGGTCTAGCGGAACCGGTCTTCATACTAGATACTGTATAACCTATTACGGAATATTCTTATACAATTTCAATGATTAGCGCATTACATTCAGATTTGTTCAGAATTAGGTAATACTTTATAAACAATGATGATTATTTATGATATATTGTCAGAGCATAAACTGATTATAATTTGGACAAATAGATCCATTTAACCAACAAACACTAAGAACTGTTACTTTTAGTGATCACCATTATAATAAATTCGTTATATTTGTACTTTTAGTCCTTAAACCCACTGAACACTTACATGTATAAACAACATCTATGAAATAAAATGAACCAAATATTATTATTGTATTTTATATATCATAGGTAAAAATATCTTATTTTACTGACAAGAATAAGAGGATTTTTATTATTATTATTATTATCAGGTAAGTCAGTTCGAGTTGCTACTACATCTTCCTTCTATATGAGTCAAGTCCACGGGATTGTGTTCCTTCTACATGTAAACACAAATCTGGTGGTCAAAACCTCAGATCAATCCATACTCTTGACTGCCATGATCCTCTTCGTTAGTAATAAAGCCTCTATTGTATGTAGGAAATCATAAAGTACTGTAACGCGTCCATACTCAGTGTTACTTCAAGTTCCTCTCCATCACGATTGTCCAGTTACAACTCTGATTTCGTAAAACTGACTGCTAACTGTTTTACATAATGACTGTTCATTGACTGCATCTACCCGTCTATACAATTCCCACTGATTCCTGAAGACAATAGATGTACTGTATATTAGCTCTTGTACACTCGGCAGTGACTAGGTGTTCGCTCAAAACAGGTAATATTCTGATAAGGCTTTAAAAGGTAACTGATGTTTTTGTCAGTAGAGGATACATTTTATTTTTTATTACTAAAACAACGGAAATTGTGTGATACAGAGTAAAAAAATTCTGTTTCATTTAAAACTACTTTTTCGTAACAAAATAACCAAACTACACCTAACTAAGGTTACGTCAGCATCTATTTCAGTCTTCGTCGTCATCTTCAATACCATTATCATACTCATCATTAACCGCCGCCTACAGTTCACCGAAGGAGAGACTTACGGAGTTTGCGTTAGTTTTATCTACAATCTGTTGTGTCTTATGGAGTTTATTGTTTCTCTCTTCAATTAATTTTCTGTCTGCTCTGGTGTCTCTCTGGTCTGGTGTCTCTCTGCTCTGGTGTCTCTCTGCTCTGGTGTCTGTCTGGTGTGTGTGCTCTGTCTCTCTGGGTGTCTCTCTGCTCTGCTCTGTGTCTCTCTCTGTCTGGTGGTGCTCTGTCTGTCTGGTCTGTGTCTCTCTGGTCTGTGCTCTCTCTGGTCCAGTGGTGTCTCTCTCTCTGGTGCTCTGGTGTCTCTCTGTCTCTGGTCTGTCTCTCTCTCTGGTCTGGTGTCTCTCTGCTCTGGTGTCTCTCTGGTCTGTGTGTCTCTGCTCTGGTGTCTCTGCTCTGGTGTCTCTCTGGTGTCTCTGGTCTGGTGTCTCTCTCTGGTGTCTGGTGTCTCTCTCTGGTCTGGTGTCTCTCTGCTCTGGTGTCTCCTCTCTGGTGGTCTCTCTGCTCTGTCTGGTGGTCTCTCTGTCTCTCTGGTGTCTCTCTGCTCTGGTGTCTCTCTGGTGTCTCTCTGTCTCTGTCTCTGTCTCTCTGCTCTGGTGTCTCTCTGTCTGGTGTCTCTCTGCTCTGGTGTCTCTCTGCTCTGGTGTCTCTCTCTCTGGTGTCTCTCTGGTGTCTCTGGTGTCTGTCTCTCTGTCTCTCTCTCTGGTGTCTGTCTCTCTGCTCTGGGTGTCTCTCTCTGGTCTGGTGTCTCTCTGCTCTGGTGTGTCTCTCTCTGCTCTGGTGTCTCTCTGCTCTGGTGTCTCTGCTCTGTCTCTGTCTGGTGTCTCTCTGGTCTCTCTCTGTGTGTCTCTCTGGTGTGTCTCTGCTCTGCTCTGTGTCTCTCTGGTCTGGTGTCTCTCTCTGGTCTCTCTGGTGTCTCTCTGCTCTGGTGTCTCTGGTCTGGCTCTGGTGCTCTCTCTGTCTGTCTCTGGTCTGTGTCTCTCTCTCTGCTCTGGTGTCTCTCTCTGGTCTGAGGTCTCTGTCTGGTATCTCTGCTCTGGTGTCTCTCTGGGTCTTGTGTCTCTCTCTGGTCTGGTGTCTCTGCTCTGGTGTCTCTCTGGTCTGGTGTCTCTGGTCTGTGTCTGGTGTCTCTGCTCTGGTGTCTGGTGTCTCTCTCTGGTCTCTGGTGTCTCTCTCTCTCTGGTGTCTCTCTTCTGTGCCTCTGGGTCTGTGTCTCTCTGTCTCTGTGTGTCTCTGCTCTGGTGTCTCTCTGCTCTGGTGTCTCTCTGGTCTGGTGTCTCTCTCTGTGTCTCTCTGGTCTGGTGTGTCTGGTGTCTCTGCTCTGGTGTCTCTCTGGTGTGCTCTGGTCTGGTGTCTCTCTCTGGTCTCTTCTCTGTGTCTCTCTGGGTGTCTCTCTGCTCTGGTGTCTCTCTGCTCTGGTGTCTCTCTCTGTGCTCTGGTGTCTCTCTCTCTGTCTGGTGTCTCTGGTCTGGTGTCTCTGGTCTGGTGTCTCTGCTCTGGGTGTCTCTCTGGTCTGGTGTCTCTCTCTGGTCTGGTGTCTCTCTGGTCTGGTCTCTCTCTGTCTCTCTGGTCTGGTGTCTCTGTCTGTCTCTCTGTCTGGTGTCTCTCTGGTCTGTGTGTCTCTGCTGGTCTGGTGTCTCTCTGCTCTGGTGTCTCTGGTGTCTTGGTGTCTCTCTCTGCTCTGGTGTCTCTCTCTGGTGTCTCTCTCTGTTCTGGTGTCTCTCTCTGGTGTCTCTCTGCTCTGGTGTCTCTCTGGTCTGGTGTCCTCTGTCTCTCTGGTCTCTCTGGTCTGGTGTCTGGTCTCTGGTGTCTCTCTGTCTGTGTCTCTCTCTCTGTGTCTGGTGTCTCTCTCTGGTGCTCTGGTGTCTCTGGTCTGGTGTCTCTCTGGTCTGGTGTCTCTCTCTGGTGTCTCTGGTGTCTCTCTGTCTTGCTGCTCTGGTGTCTCTTCTGCTCTGGTGTCTCTCTGGTCTGGTGTCTCTGCTCTGGTGTCTCTCTGCTCTGGTGTCTCTCTGGTCTGGTGTCTCTGCTCTGGTGTCTCTGCTCTGGTGTCTCTCTGTGTCTGGGTGTCTCTCTGGTCTGTGTCTCTGGTGTCTCTCTGGTCTGGTGTCTCTCTGCTCTGGTGTCTCTCTGGTCTGGTGTCTCTCTGTGTCTCTCTCTCTGCTCTGGTGTCTCTCTGGTCTGGTGTCTGTCTGCTCTGGTGTCTCTCTGCTCTGGTGTCTCTCTGCTCTGGTGTCTCTCTGGTCTGGTGTCTCTCTGCTCTGGTGTCTCTCTGGTCTGGTGTCTCTCTGGTCTGGTGTCTCTCTGGTCTGGTGTCTCTCTGCTCTGGTGTCTCTCTGGTCTGGTGTCTGTCTAGCCTAATGTTTGTTTAGCATGATGTTTGTTTTGCTTAGTGTCTATCTGGAATAGTATCTGTTTGTTTAGTCTTGTGTCTGTCTAGCTTAGTGTCTGTCTGTCTGTCTAGTCAGGTGTCGGGATCCTAACCACACGGCCGCTCTTCTTTCACGCGCTGTGGCCACCTGTTGCCAGCTGTCACTGTTGAGTATCTTCTTCACAGTCATTTCTTTATCTTCCTTAATTGCATCATTATGATATACGGCACGTTTCTGTCTCCTTCTCATTAACTCTCGGAACACATCTCTCGGGGTCACGATCATTGGAGTTCTGAGGCTTTCATACATTTTCTGGGCGAGTCTTCGTTTCTTCCACATAGATCTTACGAGTAACTGGTAAATGACATTGTATTATTAATATCATCTTCACATATTTTGGTTTCTCACTCCCAATACGATTTTGTTTTCTTAATACTGTTCGCTCTTATAGCATGCTCGTGATTGTACTTCTCACATATTAGATTTTTCCAGGTAAATAGGTAAACTTTTTTTTTTTGTTTCTGGGGTATCACTCTAGGTAGAGATAGTTTATCAACCTTGGTTACGGTGGTCTCTCTGTGTTGAATAAAGTCGTCTCTTGCCAACCAAATAAAATTTTAAAAGTGGTGTCCAATAGTGAAGGGGTTAATGCTTCACCTCTCCTTAAGAACATCAATGTCGGCCTCTGGGTCTTTTCTCTAAAGTCATAAGTGGATTATTCAGCACCATCGTCCTCGGCTGGTATTATATTATCTATCACCACTTATGAGAATGTGTTCATTATAAACTTCTCAGAACACTTGATGATTCGGTCTTGGTTTTATAGGTTATTTCCACACCTTCACCTCTTTTGGGACCAATTCATGGTCTTGAAGCCTTTGTGTTTGTATACGAGACATTATCTTTGTATCTACGGCCTCAAACAGCGCCTCAAGCATCAATGTCACGTCTTGTTTAAAGGCGTAGTATAGCATCTAGAATTCAGGTGTCACTTAACATTTTAAAGTTTGCTTGACAGTGACTATCATTCACTCATACAATGCAATTACCCATTAAGGAACACTAATAATAACAGTTGTAATAATAATAATAACCATAGCATTAGAAAATAATCCAGAGGAAATTCCAATGTTACAGTTAACTCGTATCAGGGAAACCGCGACACACACACACACACAATCATATTAATCGACATAATAAAACGAAAAACCTTTATAAAAGTCATGATGTTTTAAGTTTCGTAAAATTTCATCGCTTAAAAAAGTTATCGTTTTCCCTCATTCATTATTTTATACTTGTCATATATAACGATCATGATACAAATTACACACACAATGGAAATATTAATTTGATACGCAGAAGAGGAGAGACGCCATTTGTAGTCAATGAGGAATAACCATTACTATTGATATACCCATAATAATGAGTTGTATGAATTTAATGTATGGTGAACTTCCGTGTGTGAATTTGCCCTGCCATCACGCGAGACCCAAGAGGAAATAGTAGCGTGAGTTCTATAGCTTTGCCTTATTGATTTTTATGAATCCAATATTATCGTAAATCTTGTAGTGATGAATGATTTTTTTTTCTCACTGAATCTACTTCTAATCTTCGTCTACTTTATCTCTGATGTTGCCTGAGTATTTACGTTTTCTCTTAAATTGATTCAGAATTACAGGAATAAAAATAGTCATCATTCACAAGATCGTATAATATTTATTGTTAAGAATTTGTATTTTATCTTCGGAGTCACCAGTTTTCCACAGACAGTTAACTCATCGCTTACAGTCTATTCCTCTGGCTCAGTGTCTCAATATCGTTAGAATATTTCAATTTTTTTGCAGGTAGTTTACTTTTCTTGTTATCTTTCCCGAGTTATATTATCTGTCCTCTGAAAAATATATTAGTTCATTATTACTACATCAGTTGTGCTCTATCCTTTACCTGGGGAATCATGAAGCTCTCCTCCCCGTGTATTGCTCACTGTTTACCAAATTATAACTGAAGTTCAGGTTATGTTAGGTATGAAGCTGTTCATTAATATATCTACACGATCATCTACAGTCGGTCAGAAGTTTCCAAAAATAAGAAATCAAAGAAGTTATCGCTAATCAGTAATTATTTATTTTTACTGATTTAGTGTAACACATATTTTATATATATATATATATATATATATATATATATATATATATATATATATATATATATATATATATATATATATATATATATATATATATATATATATATACTGTATATATATATATTATGTATGCAGTTCATGTGGGTGTTTGACGGTCCTAACAGGAAAATGAGTGTTGGCTTACCCGTATCTAATTTAATATTTGATTCTTCATATATATAAAAGAATTTCTTACTTCTTTTACAAAAAAAAAACACAAAATTTGTTCTTACAGGTAACACCGCACATCAACCAACCCCCTCTCCCACTCACCTCTGGATGCAGCTGTCAGCGAGAGTAGCGGTGTGTCGTGGGGTGAGATAGCAGAGCGGTAAACAGGCAGCACTTAGTTCGTATTCACTGATTTTAATAGTCCCATGTTGGCGGAGCAGTTACTGGCCAAGACCAATTTACTCTCTCTCTCTCTCTCTCTCTCTCTCTCTCTCTCTCTCTCTCTCTCGTTTTAATCTTTTAGTAGTTTCTCGCTATCCTGATTTATTTTTTTTATATCACCCGCCTACAGTATGTTCTCGCTTTTTTCTTGAGAAATTTATAAGAGAAAATGTAAAATGGTGTTCGTCTGGTTCCTGTGGTAGAATAGTGTCAGTAAATGACTGTCAATCCTTATGATTTAGTAATGAAATGTGTCTGTGGTGCTCTCAAACATATGCTGTATTCCTTATGAAACCTGGAAATATATGAGTGAATTCCATAGACTTTGTGTTAAGGCTCGCAAGATTGTGACGAATATTCGCACGATTCTTAAATATTCGTAGTATGATGCACTTTTTTCCCCATAGCCAAAGATAGAAGAACTTATTTGGCCAGAGCAGAGACTCCGTGCGTTTTTGACATCATGCTGGTAGCTTTAGTTAGGGTTAAGTGAGTCAGGTTTATGCGGCTGTCGCGGCTGATACCATTCCGAGAATAAAAAAACCATGTGCAATTTTCTGAGAATCCGTTACTAGAAGTATAATTTCTACGTTTTGGTCTCATGAATTTTGTATTGATATCATCAGTCTGCAATGAATTATTATTTAGCACGGCTTACTGGGAGAAAAAACAGAGACGACGTACTGTATGTAGCAGCTGTTGTTAACTAGATCTATTTAACGCGAGTTGGGTACTGCCTGGCAAAGACACAGTAAATAGTATCAGAATAGAAATTATACTCATAAATATTTGTAATAGCACAAATTTACATATAAAGAACAGGTGAATTTGATTTCCACGTGGGAATAATATGATAATGGTGGTGCTGTAATCCAGGTTTTGGTGAAGAGTAACATGGCGAAAAGTTTGATTAATGAAGTGAAGAGTTGAGAGAACTTATTTATATATATTTTTTTAGGTTTTCATTTGTAATTTTGGTTTCACTTTAATCACTGATTTTATGTCGTGTCTCAGGTAAATATTTCAGGTACGTTTTTACATACCTAGTCATTATAGAATACTCTAACGTAATTCAGTAGCTCATTATCGTTTACTGTTGTTACTGTTGTGATTAGTTTCGACAGCTCTTACAATTACTGTTGTCTTAATGTTGCTGTTACTGTTATCGACCTTAATATCATTGCTTTAGTTTTGTTGCTGTTACTATTCTATTACTACTCTCATTGATGCTGAATGCTGTCAAATTTACCTTTTCTATTACTGTTTCTCCTTCTGGTTCCGTAATTACAACAACTTCCGCTGTTACCATCAGTGACGATGTCGTTATAACGGTAGCCTTTTTATGTTAGTTTTGTTGCGGCGTCTGTTTCATATATTATGATGGTCCTATTAACAGTAAGTTTTTTTTTTTTAACACTTGTTACCGTTAACTCTCCTCATTACTTCGACTCATAGTGTTTTATATTTTTTCTTTCATACTACTGTTAACTTTTGCTGTTACTGCCACAACCTCCACTGATGTCACATTAACTCCTTTTACAATTTATGATGCATCTATTATTTCTCTGGTTAGTTTTGCTAGTACTGACTATTGTTAATTCCGATGTCACTACTATTGGGTGTACCGTTAAAACCTGCCAACATAACTCAATCAAGGTGCCACTCTATAGCCCTGTCACTATAGGGAAGGTTATCTATCTCTTTTTGCTGGTGATAAATATACCTGTGCTTTACACCTGTACCTGAACTTTACTTATTCTAAATAATTCCACTGAATCTGGTAATTATCCTGTATCCCAATAAGTGTCTTCATCTTTGCTTTGGTAGTTCTTTGCTCTTCTGATCTCGATGATGTCTTGTGTTTTAGAGTGCTGTTGGGATTAGTGGTGTGGCTGTTGTTACTAATGTTGCTGTTCCTGATGAAGTAGCTATTGTTCGTGTTAGAGTTGTAATGTTATTGTATTATTTTGCCTATGCCACTGCTGTCAGACTACTGGTGAAGATTTGGGTTAGAGAGAGAGAACAAGGGAGAGAAAAGTAGAAGGTAAGGGAAAAGAACGTGAAGTGAGTTGCCTCAGTCTGTGTTGAATAAAAAGAAAACGGTGCCAAGAGTTTCCCAGTTTCTGTTACTCCAGTGAATCTTCCTAATGAACATAGAAAATGGCAGGAGATGTTTGTGCTCTTAGCCGTGGTAATGACTGACTTCCGTAGCATGAGGAACGAGCGCTGGTAGTATCATTGATGTTTATTCTAATTTTTATCTCCACCAAAACAATACTATGCTTTATTAACCCTATAGATTTTGGGGAATTTATTTTTTCCATGTTTGCAGGGGACTAATCATATTCTCTTCCATTCTTTTGTGCTGTTCCACGTGTCATCCTTATTCTTCAATTTCTCCTTTCATCTTATCTAGTTACTATTCCATCTTCCATTCATATCCACTTCTCCTTCTTTCAAAACCTTTCCCCCACATTTTTCATTTACTTTTTTGCATTATTTCAACATCACTATAATCTTTTCTTTCCTTCTAATCTTTCTATACTTCTATATTTTGCCATCACTCTTTGCTTGCAACTAAAATTCATGGGTTCAACCTTTCAAACAATCATTAGCCTATTTTCTCTGTCTCTCTTATTTTCTTGTACCCCACAAACACCAGCTGCACTTGTTAAGGACGACAATGATGAACTGTTCCCATTCTTCTTCACCCTTCCACACACCCTTCCATCAAGCATCTCTCTGTTTTCTTCTTACTCTTTCAGACACTTGACATTACTCCTTTCACTTCTCCCTAACTAACATCCCCTTCCCCTTCGGCTTAGTTTCGTACAAGACAAGAATAATCAGATTCTGTTCATTCATATTTTTATTTATATGTTTCTTATTACTGTGATTTGCGCCATGTTTACTCTAACATCCTGATCTTCTACGGTTTTGCTATATCTTAGTAACTGAATACATGGTGAGATTACTATCCTCGCCCCTCTGGACCAGGAGAGGAAAGCGTCAAGCAACGAGCAGTTAATATATCCCATGCTTATAATATGTGCAGTGTGGGTGTGTGTGTGTGTGTGTGTGTGTGTGTGTGTGTGATGGCTTGAATTTGAATTTTTAATTTTGTCAACAACAGCAGATAGTTTACTGTATCCACATTTTTGCACTCATTAAGTAAGTCAATTCCCAGGTATAGAACGAAACACACAAATGTGCTTGAATGTCCCTCACGCAGGTGTGAATAACAAAGTGTGCGGCCAGGTGTATTGCCTCACACTGCTGTACTCACGCAGGTTTGAATAAGTTGACCTGTATGTACAGTCGCGGTCAAAAGAAATCATGCACCCCTCTTACTATCATATCGGCGAGCTCCAGGCGTTTCTACACGACGGGTCATAA